GCGGGATTGTGCGTTGGTTGATATCGCATACCTGCCCTCGATGTTCAAGACACTCCTAGCCCGGTCCCTTCTATTCCAAGAGCCTAACGTTCAAGCCCACGACACTCATCCCAGAGAGCGGAATCACTGACTTGTTCACGTATTTCGATCAAGCGTCCAAGGGAACCCTGGTGCGATGAATCCCTTCTCTCGATGCCTTGACTAAGTATCCCAGATTTGGTTTGCCATATTCGATTTGGCGGGCGGCGCAGTGAACGATGTCCCGCAGAACGCGACTGGCTATGCCCATCGCGATGTTCTGGTTCGTCTTTATTATCTGCGAGGCCAGTGCTAAACTCTGTCACAGTTTTACTTGCAAACTTACGCCGTTGGGATCGTTTCACTTTCCAACACCACAACCGCATTTGTCGAAGGCATGAGCAACACAATTATCAAAGCCATGCCTGGAGTACAGTTCGGCGCCTATGCGGGATACGTGGAGTAAGTTCAGTCCTTCTCCAAGTATATTCGGGCTCATGTTTTTTTTTCAAGTCCCAAACTGCCAGATGGGCAACAAGAATACTGGGAAACGAATCTCCCGCGATTGGAGCAGATCAAAGCCCAAATCGATCCTCAGGACGTGTTCCATAATCCTCAGAGCGTGCAACCAGTCGCATCGAATAGCACGGCGCCCAGTGCAAGCGCAACTGGCAGTAGTGCTACATCATCTTCGACGCAGCCCTCGTCTGGGGCAGGCATTCACGGATTTGGATGGGGCTGGTGCAGCTTCCTGGGTGCTATTTCCCTTGCGAGGGAACTTGCAGGGTTTTAATAAACTATTTCATGCACGAACATTTACGACTCAAATTAATCACACAAGTTAAAACTCCCAGTCAACCCATTTCGGTGTCCCTCCGAATATTTTCTCGACGGTAAAGTTCTGGCGAGCTTCTTGGGCAGTCAACAGGTGGTCGAAGAAGACGCGAGACGAGGCGTTGAACCCGGGACCTGTACGCGTTGAAACCGTGTCAATGAACGCCGAACAGCCTGCGTACCATGAGAACCCTGCTCGGCGTAGTAAATCGTCTCGTTGCGCGGATCCGTGGGCGACCAAATTTGAAATCCTGCTGGGTTGATAGTGGAATCCATGAATGACTGAATCCACCGTCAAATGTGATCCATGGTAGTTTCAGGAGACTCACATCCATGTAGACAACAACGCTCGCATTGTTCCATGGCCGACCGAGTGTTTGCTTTCCGGTGAGGTCAAGAGCGGGGTTAGCGTCGGGTGCGCGAACGATGGATGATTTTGAAAAATAGGCTCCGTAAGTGTTTGTGTAATTGGGCGTGCCTTTCCAGGCGGTTACGCTACAGTGCGCGTTGAGAAAGAGCGGCTCGAGTCAAACGACGGCAACGCACCATCCAGCACTACGCGTTCCGATTACACTCTGGTCGAAGTATGCCGTTCCGAATCCATAAATGTAGTCCCTATTATATTGGGTATCGGCGAGGCATATAGAGCTCAAAGGGCTAAACGCACACTGAGCCAAGGACTTGACTCTTGCGAAACACAGCGCTTCCGTTCTTGCCAATGAACATCGTATCTTGCATTCCACGGAAGGTAGACGCGTAAAAGGACGCGTTGGCAAAACCTATGCCAAGCGCCAGTGCGGGACCTACCCCGCCGTTGTTGGCGCGATTCTCAAAGTTGATGTTGTACGCGCGAAAGTCTTTGCAGCCAAAGTCGTCGGGAATGGGCACAGGAGTTGCGCCGTAGTAGCCCTGACTGCCTTACAGCGTTAGAGGGCAGGCCTGGGGCAACCAAAACTTTGGATGTCTTACCCGGTCCATGCCGCGTACTTATTAGGCGCGACAGTGAGCACCGCAGAGTCCGCATTATCCTGCAGACTTGTGATTTGAGTCGTCTGGTTGATGTATGTGGTGTTGAATATAGTAACGAGGTTTTGCGCATCTTGGGTTTAGTTGTTCAGATTGTTGGGCTTAATGTCGAGAAAACAGTTGCTTACACGACCCTGGGTGGTCTGTTTGTCCCAAAAGCGTGGTGGGTCCCACTCGTGTGATATTCACGGCCTCTAGGTACTCCCCGGCACCGATGAGGATGAACTGCGCCGAGTTATCGCGGGGAAGTGATTCAACAGCAGCCTGAACGCTGCGGAAGCGTGCATTGGCGGCTGTTAGGGACACAAAGATGGTGCCTTGTTAATTTGAGCATCGAGTAATGGACCATTCATCGGAAGAAAGTCCCACCTGGTGGACAGAACAGCGTAGGAAACGATTTAGGCTTCAGGGTGGTCTGGCAGGCCGCGTATTTGGTTGCAGACGCATTTCGGACCAGGGCGGCGGCAAGAAGTAGTAGGTATGCGAGGGCCATGGCGTACCCAGTACATTGAAGGGTCGGGCCATTTATGTTCGGGAATGATGCTCATGTGCAGCGGCAAGCGGGACGGGCGGGCCCGCCTTCATCAATGCCGGATGAGAAGCTTATTGACCCGAATGATTAGAATCGATAACTTGAAGATAGACAGCTACATGTACGGAGCGAGGATGTGGTCCGCAATACGTGAGCCTTGTCCTAGCGGTGGCCGGAGGGCGCCCGGCGAAGCGCGACGTGGTCACCATCAACTTCAACTCGTACCAACATGTCGACGCCGCTGTACTCGGTCTGAGGTGGCTTTCCTGGTCTGAGAGGTGTCTTATATATTCCGCAGTCGATATTTGGAGATCCTCAACACCCCAATGTTTTGCTCAGAGTCCAGTTCTGGAAAAGTAAACAAACGCTGCTGCAGGCGCGCGGTTACAACCTTTACGACGTGTCTCCGGAAACCTCAGTGGCTCTTGTACAGTGCGATCCCCACACTGCAACCCTGCGTGACGTGCAAAAGGAGGCTCCTTACGCCATTTGCCAAGCTCTGCCTGAAGTTAGTGAAAATATCGATGGTCCACCGGTATGCTTCCTCGCACACTGTCTGCAATCGGCTCATCCTCCTTAGTTCCGAGCGTGGACCAATGGTATAGTTGTTTTTGCCACCGATATTCAACACCGCCATGTTGCTTTGAAACTTGTGCAAAATGACAGCATGGAACACCGCGTACTGTCCTTCTTGCTCTTTCAACAAACTAAATATCCAAATCATTGCATTCCTGGAATTGTTCCCGTTGTCGGAGTGGTACCAACCGACGAACACTGGATCTTCGTAACTCCTCGGTTCGCTTTTCCCCCCCAGTCAATCTCGAGCTAACGGTGATCCTCGTAGGTGGGCTGATGCTGCAACCGACGGATGGTTTCGCACTGTCGACGACTTGCTATTCTACATGGAGCAACTTTTGGAAGGCTTAGCATTTCTGCACTCCCATCGCATTGTCCATCGGGTGCGCAAAATTGCAGCTGTGGCTGAAACCACCTCATCTCTGCCTAGGATCTCACCCATGCTAACCACCTCGTTAACCACCTCCCCACTGACGTCAACAATATCGACGACACTCCCGGCAACCTGAGGCACGAACTCCAGAGAACCAAGTCCCTTTGCTATGCATGGATTGATTTCGGATATTCCATTCAGCTTCCCCGTGCAACTTCGTTGGATTCTTGTCGCATTTCTTGGAGAGCTGCAATGTTTGGAGCATGGTATATTCCTCCGGATATCATGCAAGGGGAGTATATCTACAACCCCTTTGCTTTTGATGTTGGCACGCTCGGGATATGTCTGTGCTCTGAATTCCAGGTCCGTGAACTACAAATTCTGTTGCAACATACACAATCAAGTTAAACCAGACATTAACACCGACCATCCCTTTTCTTGCGCCTCTCCTCGACGGGATGGTCACTCGTAATGTTGTGGCTCGACTGTCAGCAAGTGCTGCACTCGCCTTTCTTCGAAGGATGCGAGATGACATGCCCCCCGAAGACCGGCAGAGTCTCTGTCCAGAGAGGATGTCAATGGAAGAATCAGAGTATGAGGCTTACGATCGATGGAAAGGTTTGCCGGTGTGGTTTTCGGAGCGTTGGGGTCATATGCGCGCACCTTTGACGATCCCATTGTGGATGCGCGTGCTGAGGTTAATTTGCCGGTACAAGTGGGCTGAAAATGTCGTCCGGTTTCTCAGACAGAGCACTGATCGTTTAATGGGACGACACTACGGTTTGTTGCATGTATGAACTTATAATCTTGGCCTTTGTCATCCAGTGAGATACTCTGGCAGATGTTCACCGGAAACACGAAATTGAAGCGATGAATCGGAGCAGTCATTACTTAAATGTTACACAGTGGTGAACATACACCTGCCTGTATTGCTGACTGCAATAGACAAGTTATCGGAGACTGATGAATGTGATGGAGACTGAGAGCGATTCAGAAGAAGAGAGCTTGATCATAAGTAGAACAAGGAGGATCATAGAAGCATACTTAGTAAAGGAAACAAACTTGGAGACTGATGTCGAACAAGAGTAAGTAAGGATAAAATATAGGTTACGCTCAGTAAGCCTCATTGTGTTGCGTCCCAGAGCTAAGCTTACACATAATGTGAGAGGTGTATATATCAAGAACACATACTATTTGAACGGACCTTTATTTTACTGTATCTACGATTAGATTATGTGATTGTGACATCAAGTCACTCAGAATAATAACTTGATTTCCTCTTCCATGTCCGGGCTCTTTCTCTCGACGTGAACCACGTATTTGGTTGGACCCCCTCGATGCCTGAGCACGCGTAAACTGCTCCCCTCGTATCCTTGGACGCCAGGACTACGAGGGTACCAATTTGGCTCCAACCACCTCAATGCGGCGCTCAGATACAAGCTGCCGCGTCTTCGGGATCGCTGGCGCTACCCTCGTAGCTGCCTCGTCTCCGCTTGCATTACCTGCCTCTAGTAATGCTCCTCGACAAGCCACTTCATCGGCGCCGCCAGCCCAGTATTTGTGCAGCATCACACATAATAAGCTCAAATAGATATGAGAGTTGTCAGAGGCTGATAGGGTCCACAGGAGAGTGGTCACACAAGCCCCTTGGCCCAGCTGGTTAAGGCGCACGACTGTTACGTAAGCCCCTATTTCGTACTATCGTGAGATCGTGAGTTCGAGCCTCACAGGGGCAGTGACCCTTTTGCACGGCTGTAGTGCATTCTTTTTTTGCCATGCTCTTATGGTTTTATTTTACATCTTCTAAATTGTGATCGTAAGATCAAGAGTTCGACCCTCTCCGAGGCAGTGTTTTTTGCTGCGTTGCTCAGGGAAAAGAGGTTAGCGAGTCATTCAAACATTGCAAGTACTTGCGCTCCACCGAACGCATCGCATGTTCTGGATAAAGCTGTAAGGCCGACGAGCGGCAATGCCCGCTACCAATTATTCGCAGTCTCCCACAAATATCATATGAATTTCTTGTATTCCAGGGGTACTAAAATGAACAAGATGTATTCATTGTTCAGGCCTAAGAGCGTCCAACCCATACTTTCGGCTAAGAAGGCGACTCGGAATGGCGCGGGAGGGTGTCAAAATCCGCATCTCCAGAACCCGATTAAAAGGCGAAGAGTACGCTGATGGGAAACTTCTAGCATGCTCAACCTGTATATGGTCGGAGCGATCAAGCCCTGGTGGCGCAAGCATGTTTCCGGCTGCCCTGCGTAGGGTCATACTCGTTTGTGGTGGCGACACTTAGTGGATGAGACACAACTTGCTGCATAAGTAAGTAAGACACAATGCTTCAACGCATTGGATTCAGACCCGATGGTGTGAAAGTTTCGGGTTGCTGCTTTCCTGATTAGCTGTGCCAGTGATTTTGCGGATGTTCTGTTCTTCTGTCCAGTGAATAGGACACAGTCGCGGACAACGAGATGAGGGCAAGAGCAGAAGGTCCGGCCCGGGACAGTGTGTGAGGCTCTGTGGAGCTGACGCGATATGAATTGTCATTTGACTAATGGCCTGCAGAAAGCTGAAAATCATGCAATATAAGACCCGTTACCTAAAGGTAGCGGGAATCACCTTGCCCCCCACCGTCTAAAATACCCTAATATAGTAATTCTATCATTTCTTTTGATCCTAATGTGATCCTAATGTGATCCTTTGATCCGTCACCAAATCCATTTTGTTCATGGTTCGCGAAATTTCCGTTTTCCAAAGAGTGCCAAACAACGTTGCATCGCTTCATGTCACCCGGAGTAACCTTCCGGTTCTGGCCGACCACCACGATGCGTCTGCGCGCTTCTCTGCCAAGATTTCTACATAGACACTGACGCTGTCGAGGCTGACGGCCGTGCTTCCGACCATGACGAGGGCGATTCAGACGACCGTGACGACGAGCAAATTCACGTGCATGCACATCCTCCGGTATCACGTCAGTATTCGCCGCAGGCCAAGGACGCAGACGATAACGCTTGGGAAAATCTTTGCGGCCGAATATGAGCGACGTGCTCAAGATGTGCTGCCCTCGAACGTAGGCTCAACACTGCCGTGTGTTGACACTGCCAGTGTTGCGGTGCCAAACGGTCGACGATGGAGCTGCCCTTCGCCAGTGCGTGCTCAATTTCGCTGCGCAGTTCAACAAAAAGCTGTTGGTTTTGATGTTTGCAGGTGAGGGCTGTACGTTCGGCTGTACATTCGCCGTCGTTTGGAAAGGTAGCGGCAGGTCGCGGCACCCCCCAACCTCCAGGGCACGATTGTGACCGTGCCTCGGTATCCACATCTTGTTGAAAAGTATGCCAGCTCTCTTTTCGGGCACAATCCACAGTTTGAACTACAGTAGAACGGAGGCTGGCCGATCCAGGTCACAACTTGAACTGACTTTGCCAGTGGTATTACTACCAACTTGACTGGGACCGCGATGGCAAATGCGCTCAACGAATTTATCGCCGCGACGGATACCCACGCGCAGCAAATTCAGAGTCTCACAAGCTTTGCACCGCGCAGCGTCTCACCTATACGACCGCTGTCAGGTACATTGATTCGTATTCTCGCGTTTGAGAAGTTGGCTCACAGATATCTCCAGTCCGCATTTCTTCACTACTTCGGTGCCGACTCATTCAACAAGAACTTGTGCATCCTTTCCGACCAAAATTTGTTCACCCAGTGCTGGGAGAAGCTAATCGGTCAGATTCAGTCTCCGGGACCGGTCAATCTTGTTGAGATTGTGACGTGGAATGACTACGGCAGCGTCCTCCGACGGCCTCTCGCCGACGTTCTGCGTTTGCAGCAGCCCGCTTGCTCTCCCAAGAATATTAATGCTCAAGGTGAGTGGCTTCGAAACAAGGAAAGCCCCATTGAAAGTTTCCCCCGGCTCGTGTCGGTCGAGTATCAACGACCCATCCGTGACGTTGGCATTGCTTTCGACGATCTACAGGTACCGTAGCGTGCTCAGTCGAACATCTCAAGCGCGACTTCCCGCCTGCCCTGGATGCCATCCAATTACTTCTTGGCGCCCACGGCACGCCCGCTCATTGACACCCACGCAACCCTCAGGCTCCGCTCACTGCAAACGACAACCAATGCCTCTTCATGCTGCCTCCCTCCTGAACACCCATCGGCTTATACGAAATCTATGCAAGTTCATATACATACAAATGACCTATCGTCAACAATTAGTATCAAGGTTGCAATATATTGGAACTGGATCAGAGAGAGAGTCGTTAAGATACAGAAGAGAGAGCTAGCTAGGTATAGACATACCTGGATCAGAGAGAGAGTCGTTAAGAACTCCTCTCTGTCCAGGGAGTATGATGTGCAGAATAAAGCGATAAGATAAGCGTTACGACGCAGATGCAGAGTCAGGCTCTAACAATTAGCGCAGTGAACAAGGCTGCAGTGAACAAGGCCTGCGCTTAGGATTTTTTGTTTGTTTCCACTCATTTCTTCTGCATACTGAGTTTGGATGTGTGCCGTCCACGTGTCGACCCAGCACGGTGGACATTGCGTACGCATAACGGGCTCTGCATCCGTCGACGAGGTCAGAGTGTATGATTATGGAGGCTGCAACATGACTGGTTGGCTAAATACTTATTAAGGTACAAGTTTTCGAATACTGAATCTACTCGCACTGTGTATGCCCTCTGAACTATAATTGTGGCACTGCCTACCTACTTAAATTTTGCAATGCACATAGCACAACGACAACGCCGCAGAGGCATGGTCTTGATATCAGAAGATAAGTACACACATGGGACATTGTGCCACGGTGTTGTCACAGACGAAGAAAGCAAAGCAAGGTTTTAGGCGCCGCGCAGCCGGCGACCTTTTATATTGAGGTTGAGGGTCAAAAAACTTTTTGTACATATGACAACAAAGCGGCTAGCGTAAGGTAGGGATGTGTTGTTTGCAAGAGTTTGACCCTTTGGGACCTGGAATCTACTAAATAAATGACTACCTGATAAGCCAGGTACAGGAGGGAGCGGGGTTCAGCAAGTTGAAGAAAAAAAAAAAGCTTTTCAACCTGTATCTGAAAATCCAAAGTTGACACCCCTTGCAGATCACATACAGAGGATGAGGCAAACCTCAAGGACCAGGTGAGAAGTGATGATCAAGGAAAGATCAGCCATCGTTTTTTAGCTGCAAAACCCACCGAGGTGACCGAACAATCGATGAACTACACTGTGAATCCACTATGCTATCTGAAGTTCAATTTAAATCAGATGTTTTTCACCTTCTTTTGAAGAGAAAAGATTGAATTTTACTATGATACAAAGGTGCGCTAAAAGATTTTGCCATGGCAATTTGTTAAATCCCCTGCCGGAAGAAGTCGGAAGTAACCTGGAGCAGTAACTGGAAGGAGCCGGACGATGTGCAAGCACCACAGGAGAGTAAGGGTGTGCATACCACTGGTATGCACCCTGGTCAGAGACGAGACCGAGGCTTCCGGTCAACAAGCAGAGCGGAAGCAGAAGGAGTCCGAGGAGGACCAGAAGGAAGTTCCGAACTTCAAGGAACAGCAGGGACAACTTACAAGACAAGTAGTCAAGAGCATTAATAATCAAACTGAAGTACAAGACAATAGTGACTGGTAAGTAGAGAACCGAAAGGAGAAAGAAGTAAGTAGCTAGACAATAAGTAAGGATTATGATGGATAAGGAAGTAAGCGAGAGACAATCAGCCTCCGTGAAAGGTACATGTCCTTCAGATGGCATAGCAAAGTTTTAGATTCAGGGTGTCACACTCTGACATTTTCCTCAATATACAGAGACTCCTGCGCGTATAAGGTACAAATGTACAAAACGTTAAGATATCAACATTATCGCCAATTAGATCCAGAGGCTCGAACGGGAGATTGGGAGGGTGGTGAGTAGGAGGTGTTGCGAGACAGAAGCTGTGGCTGGGAGAATGCTGCAAGATTTTGGCCGGGAGCCTGCTCCGGGAGATACAGAGGAATCCTGGAGGGAAGATTAGTTACAACCGGGAGCGAAAAGTAGATTCTGCAGACGTTGGGATGAGTTCCACCACATTCTGCGCGAGGGCCCTGGAAGCTCGATTGGCTGGCGACGAGTCTACACCGTTCATGACAGCGTGGATTTGCGCGTCCTGGACTGTCGGCTCGCCATCAGTCGCTGGTGTCGCGACGATGCTGGAGCCAACACCTCGGCCATCCCAGATGCACCGAATATCGTTGCCTGGAATGATTTGGACCAGACGACCAGTCTCGATGTGTCGAATCTCGATGAATCGAGAATCGAAGAGCAGAATGTAGGGCGAATGCAAGGCAACCTTCTCGGCATTGCCTTCCCATTCAATGGTGATCCCCCCTCTTCGTGGATCTCCGTGCTTGTCAACATATACACCGAATTCTGCAGGATATTAGAAGATCCAGAGTACCAAGTAGCGGCTCATACCGTTGTAGCACAGGAGGAAGCCGTCTTCGTCAGAGCGGAACATCCCAATGGGCCGGCAGGCGTCACATCGTTTGGACAGAGGAGCCAGCCGGGCATCATCGCGGAGCGGTATCGTAACGCTCTTGAAGCTATCGAAGCTATTAAAGAGATAGCGAAAGGCAACCAGGAAACTCACTCGTTAAGGTCCATGATCTCGAATCCCTTGGTGCAAAGGATTGCGATCCTTGCTTTCAAGAAGTACAGATCAAACGACTCGGACGGTAAGAAGAAATCCTAAAAGACGCGTA